GCAGAGTTTACCGTAAGTTGGATACAGATGTCTAGGTAATTATTCAATTCTGTATATAGTAGGATTTGAACCCTAGACCTCTTGCATGGCGGTTCGGCAACCTAACCACTACACTAAGATTGCCAGACCTTGCTACCTAAATTTAATATTTGTACTTTCTAGTAAAAAATAAAATTTTTTAAAGATTCAAGTAAAAATATCTTAATAAACATCTAATCAAATTTAATAAATTTTTTTTTATTTCAATTTTATAAGTTCATAGAATTCAAATAAAAAAAAATTTAACAAAATTGATCAGGTAGTTATCAAGATATCTTTGTTCAAAGTTAAAAAAAATTAAAATATCTATTAAAATAGTTATACTAAAATTTTTAAAATTTGAGTGAAGATATTTTGATAACCACCTGATCAAATTTGATAAATTTTTTTTATTTAAATTTTATGAATCAACAGAATTTAAATAAAAAAATTATTGAATTTAGTCAAGTAATTGTTAAAATATTTTTACTCAAAGTTTTAATAAAATTTTAATATAGCTTTTATTTTGATAAGTAGTTTTTTTTTTTTTTTTAACTTTGAGTAAAGATATCTTGACAACTACCTAACCAATTTGATAAATTTTTTTTTATTTAAATTCTATATATTTATAGAATTTAAATAAAAAAAAATTTATTAAATTTGATTAGATAGTTATCAAGATATCTTTGCTCAAAGTTTTAAAAAATTTTAGTATAACTATTTTGATAAATGTTTTGATTTTTTTTAACTTTGAGCAAAGATATTTTGATAACTACCTGATCAATTTTGTTAAATTTTTTTTTATTTGAATTCTATGAATTCATAAAATTAAAATAAAAAAAAGTTTATTAAATTTAATTAGGTAGTTATCAAGATATCTTTACTTGAATTTTTAAAAATTTTATTTTTTGCTAGAAGATACAAATATTAAATTTGAAGAATATGAATACTAGCCTCTTATATATATTTATTAAAAAATATTTTTTTAGATTTTTTACTAAATAAAAAATCAAGTTAGAATTAAAAAATTTTTTTTAACTTTATTTTAATTTTTTATTCAATAAAAAGTTCAAAAAAATATATTTTAATAAATAAATAAATATATATATACAATTTTATGCTAAACAAGTTTATTTAAGAAATAAATAGATTAACTTAGTAAAAAAAAAAAAAAAAAAAAAAAAAAAAAAGTTATATATATAATATATAACTAACTTATTTTTTTATTAAAGTAATCTATTTTTACTTTTTAAGTAAAGTTGTTTAAAATTAGAAAATATTTATTTTTTACAAAATTTTATTTTTAAATTATGCAAAATTAGTAAAATTTTAATTTAGTTTTTAAACTAGATTTTTTTTTCTTTTTTTGTTTTATATAATTGCAAAATTTAATTTAAATTATTTAGTTAAGTTAAAAAGAATTTTTAGTTAAAAGTTTATAATAAATTCATATGTTTTTATTATAATTTTTATTATAAACAACATTTTAAACTTTTATAAAAAAAAATATATCTTAATGCTTGTTATAGTCACAAAAAATTTAAAATATGTATATTTTATGATTTACTAGACCAGTTTTAGCGTTTTAAGAGCCATTAGAATCGGCAAGTTCTTTTCTACAACTTAAGTGCTCAAGATAGATTAACATAATAAAAAAATAAAATAAAATAAAATAAAGATATTAGTTTTAATATTTAGTAGTACACATATTTTAAATTTGTGAATATAATTTAAATATTTTATAAAATTAATAGTGCACTAGTTTTTAAAATTATTCACATAAATTAAGAGTGCACTGTGCACAAAATTCACATATTTTTGAGTTCAGATTTTATAAATACATAATATAAGTTTAGTTTCTTTACAATTACGAATTTTATTAATAATTATGGAATGTATTTTTAGGTTATTAGGTTATTGAGACTAGAATTAACTATCTCAGCAATTGATAATGAACGATTTACTGCATCAATTAAAATAATTCTTTTCTGACGCGATCAATTTTTATCAACAGATTCTTTAATCACTAGAAATAATTCGTACTGTACTGTATTTCGCTATGTAAGGCATCCGATACAAATCGGGATTCCTTATACAGTAAAATACGGTACCAATATTGTTAATACTCAATTCGGCATCACCAAAACTTTGGCTCTTAATTCAGTGCTAAAATACCTGCTTTTGATTTGGTTTACTATGATTACTTTCAGTACTGCCTTCCGAGATTCATTTTTCTAAAGGACTTAGAAATCAGCCAGTACTATGGATAATGATCGGTTAACTTTACCAAGATTACGTAAGTACTTCGAGAACATGGATTCCAAGAACTTGTCACCAATAGGTTTTATTTCTAAAGTACGCTCAATTTCTATACAAAGTCTCATTTTAATGTGATTCGAATTGAATGTTCGTTATATAAAACCTATATGGTAATATAAATTAATTCCATTAGGTTTGGATGCGGTATAGCAAATTTATTATAGATTCAGTGTACAGTGTAAATAAATGTCAAGAATCTTTTAGTTCGGTATAAAGTCGAATATAATTTAGTATCAAGAACTAAGATTTTTCTAAATGAATGACTAAGTCGGTAAGTTGAGAGAAATTTGCAAGAGATGTAGATTGTGGGGCATCTTGAACTAAAATGCAAAGATAATAAAAATAATAAGAAATGTGAGAAAAAATCAAATCGTTACAAAATTATTAAGCATAAAGAGATTTACCGGTTTTTTTTGGCTGCAACATATTCGTTGAAAAGTCGACCGACCAACCACGTTCGTTCGTAACTAAATTAAAAATTTTTTTTTAATTTTTGCACTGATATTTTAACCTTGAATCTCACATAAACGAATAAAAAATATACCCGACAAAACTTCTTCACGGGACAAACCAAGATATTTGCCAACATCATCGATCGTAATGGATGAATAAGCCTCTGATAAAAGAGCAAACATACGCTCTCGTAGGTTTTCTATGAATATATGATATTTAATATACCGACAAATTCAATATACTTGCGGTGTTAAACTTACCGCCAAGCTGCTCCATCAAAGGTGCGATTATGGGACTCCATGTTTTTGAATCTATGAGCTTATACATATTATCATAGTCTCTCTGCCACAACGCAACACCAACATCCCAAATTAATCGTAACTCCTTTGAACTCCCTTTAACATTTTCTCCCAATCGTTTCCAAAGAAACCTTGCCGACGGTCTAAAAGAGAAATTTCAAATAAAAATGAATTCAGTTCAACCAAACAAATATATATATATATATATAAATTAAAAATCAAGTTATTCACAGGTCCTGCTCAAGTAGATAACCAAGTATAAATGTGCCATAAAAATCCTCTAAACTTATGGTATTATTCTGTGTGAGAGCCAACTTAAGAACAAGTTTAAAAGGGTGTACTGTGAATTCGTATGGCTTTTGGAACAAAAAAAACGCAAAAGTAATAAAAAAATTACTTGTGGTTCTAACTCTTCGCAAAAGTTTACAAGTCCAGCGTAATCACGATTCGCAATATGCCCCTTGATAGTGTCCATGCTTAAACGATGACCGATAAAAGTAGTTCGCGTTAAATTTGTCTACGTAATTTTAAAATATGCAAAATCACGGGTTTCAGTATATATAAATTATAGTATAAATTATAAATTAAATTTTTTAATATATATCGATATAATTAATAAAAAATTCTGATGAACTGGGATGGATGAACAGCAAAGTCTAGCAAAAGATTGTGAATTAACAGAATCTAAGGGCGAAAGCCTTCTTGACCCGATAAACCGCCTTAAAGAATTGCTGCATTCCCAGTCATCCATTCTTAACATTGATGTTCTTGAATCAGATTTACAAAACCATAATTCTCCTAAAGCTACACCTGTCGAAACGTCGCCTTCAGTTTCTGAAAATGACTATACTAATTCAACATATTTAGAGACTAAACTTAACACTTCAAATACTCTACAAGCATCTTCGTCAAATAATGATATATTAAATTTGACATTGAAAAAGAGGAGAGTGCCGCCCGTGGCATTGATTTCAGCAGATATTAGACAAATAAGAAGTCGTGCGCAAAGAATTAATGCTTACTGTAAGAACTTTATATTCAACATTAGTTTTGTACAATTTATAGTACAATATCAATGACAGTTTTATATATTTTCGTCAAAACAATTAATAAAGCTGCAAAATTTGAGCTGTTGAAACAAGAAGATGCGGGATTGCGATCATGGCTCAATTTAAATATTATAAGAGAATTGCCTTTAACAATAAAAAGTATGTTTTCTATTTAAACTGTTGTAAAATTTCAGACTTGAAAAATAATTTTAAATTTTTCATAACAGATTACAAAAAGAGATTTAATGAAACTTTACCATCCATTGCAAGTTTGGCAGCTAATAAAATTTATTCCAGCCTTTCTTTAGCAATGAGTACCAGTAGTCAACCAACCTTGTCATCGCGCATACCTACAGACATTTCTATAGATACAAATTTATCAGCCTTTTCAAGCTCTCAGAGTCCTTCTAAAACTTTATCTTCCCCACGAACTTTTTTAGATATAGCTGTTCAAGCAAATTCACCCAAGGGTCATTCAATGTCCCCACCCATGTCACCCAAAATGAAAACATCCACTAATTTCTTTAACCTTAATAGACGCGGTAGTATTAGTCGACCGACGATACACATGCCTCCGGCAGTGATGAATGACCCATCTGCTAATTCATCCGCATCTTCAATTCCCTCGTCTCCAAAATCACCGAAAATAATATCATCTAAACGTCAAAGGAGATTCAGCTTCCAAGCTGTTTCTTCAAAATTTCATTTTGGATCTTCTAATACATCGTCTTTAACTTTCCCGACTATTGAAGAAAAGACGGATATTAATTTGTCCAATTCAGTTGTCGTTGACGAAGATGCTCTAAATAGATTATGTGACGTATTACCACATGCAGACAGAGATGTCTTGATAAAATATTTGCGTGCAGCAGGTGGAAAAGATGATTTAATGGCTGTTGGTCTCTATATGAAAGATTTAAAAAGTGGCGAGATTTGACATATTGGTTGATTGACTTAACATACTTATTGCATTTTTTTTTTTTTTTTTTTTTTTAATTAAAAAATTTTATTTTATTTAATATATTTTAAAGGAATTAAAGAAATTCCTATTTCTAAATTAATCGTTCAAAAAAATACCTTGCATATACTACTCAAAATATTGCAGTTCTCAAAGCCGCAATTCCATCGAAAGTCTTCAAACTATCGCAAATTTCATTAAAGTTCACAAACCACTGTAAATTCCAATGAAAGTATTAAAAGTTTTAGAAACTTTATCACAAAAGACCATCACAAGCCATCAAAATCCCTAAAGCACCACATTATAGAATTTTTTTGATTTTTTTAATTCATTTTAAAATTAAATATAAAACAACTATATTATTTGATTTAATCTCAGTTAAATAATTTTTTGGCATAATTAAAATTAATATTTACTATTGAAAAACTAATTACTGTAAAACTATTTCTATATATCAACAAAAAATTTTTATTAAGAGCAATTTCACCCACGTCGCATATACACAGTATCGCTAATCTTAAATGTGATTGATGATTAATTAATCATGCAGGCAATGAAAGATAATTCTTCCAAATAAAAATAAAAGCAGAGTTAAATAAGTGATAACCTAGTATCGAATCAAAATTTTCACGCTAATGCAGAAGTTAAACTATTCCAAGAACACAATTAGGCCACGCAAGATTATACATATCCCGCTCGTGTCAGTGAAGTGGTGTTTGTTTTTTTTTATATAGTTAACCAATAGAATTCTCCATGCTAGGAACGTAAGTATATGGTTTAGTGCTTGAACCCAAGTGGACACTCTGGCTCATTCGCGTAGGCAAATTCATTTGTCTCTCGTGGATAAGCATCAGCATCATTATATATCGTATTTAATAAAAAAAAAATTGGTTTAATCATTTATCTATTACAAGTTTTTAATTCAGTTAAAAGTTGGCTTTAACTATTTATCAGCTATATTAAGTAAA